GTGTGTGTGTGTGTGTGTGTGTGTGTGTGTGTGTGTGTGTGTGTGTGTGTGTGTGTGTGTAGGTTGTCGGTCCCTATCTGAGGTGAACAGGTCCTTGATTAGGAAAGTGGACTTCAGCTCCAGGATGTGAGACAAAAACGTGCAGAAACCACAGAAGAGTGGATTACTGAAGAATCATCAAGAGGATAAAAATGTCAAATTTTTGTTTGTTTTGTAATTTGTTAGAAAATAATCTTGCTTTAGATTGCTACATTTTGGTGAAAGCTGTAGATGTTTTGTAGACTGCCTATTGTTAGTTTTGAAATAAATCAAAGCGCTCTGAAACTTTGTTTCATTAAAATGAACCACACCTACTTGACTCCCCCCCACTCTTGTTGGCACCATTGGTGTGTGAATCTGAGGCATGGTTCCTTATGTGATCTCAGTTAAACTTGATATTGTATCAACAGGAGAATAAAACTGCATAGATGGACAGACTCTTCAGCTACAAAGTTAACTAGACATGGGTTATTACGATGTAAAAACAAGTGTGCATTGCCATGTAGCATGTCATTGCCTGCAGCAGTGGACTTACAGAAAGAACTTTGACCAAGTTCAAATGTGTTTTCCATACCAGCTTGTGCCTGTCACGTCAGCCGGTGTTTGTAATTAAGGTAATTTTGTGGCAATATGAAATTTGAAGAGATTTTTGTTAAAGTTGCAGTAGCTGGATTTGAACCCTGATCTCCCGCATGAAAGCCCACAGTGCTCATCATGAGACTATAGGAGATGTTGCAGAGGACAATCCCAGGGATTGCATTGTATATGTACAGAAAAAGTTTACCTTGCCAATGCAATTATTGACACTTAAGTGCAATATCTTACAGCAATAGGACAACATAAAGACAGTATTACAGTAAAAAATCAAAATACAATCATATTAATATCGTAATCACTGAACAACTGAGTTTGAATATTATGGTGCAGTACCACATTGTGTAGATGCAGCTGGGGGCAGTATTGGACCAATACAAGGCTCCATTGACTGTCATTACAATTTATTAAACATTAATATTTCAAAAACTACAAATTTTACAGGCACCAAAAGGCATAGCCATCATTTGGCACAGGGGCTTTACAGATATAAATTACAATGGCAGCTCTAGGACAAAGTATGCAGGAGGAGAAGCATGGCAAAGTTGAGATGACTTGGATGGGAAACTAATCAATAGTGATTGGACAATTACATTGGCAATGCACACTGACAAGACAAAAGTAGTCTGAAGTAATTGAAAAGATCTCACAGTAAAACAAATTTAAGTCAAATTTTGTGAAACAACACATAGAAGAGAGACAAACTGGCAGCTTTGATCCAAAATGGCTGACTTCTTGTGGGGATTGGAACATGACTCCAAGAGACTTTTTTGTAGGTCCTGTGACGTTACACATGTGTGGGTCTACCAAATGTCATGATTTTACATTAGGTCAAACCACGGGTGATTTTTGAAATAATTGTAGTGGGTGCTGTGGAGGGATTAGGCCATG